CCACCCCTCAGCTGCCAGTGCCCCCTCCCCCACTGGTAACCCTCAGCACAGCCACCGTGTCCCCCCTGCTCCCGCCAGCAGCCCAGGGACTCCCTGAGCAAAGCCCGCAGCAGAAACCAAGGCCAGTGTGCACGGCTATTGATTATGTACTACACTTCTTTCTTCACATTAGATAAAACCGTCATTACCTCATATGCCTGGAATATAATAAACCATCTTTCTGCACAATTTTGTTTTAAATATAAAACAAATTCTGACCTCAGGGCCAAACCAGAGGCCAGGCTTCTAAACTTGAAACCTATTGGACAAGGCAAACAAACAAACGAATGAAAACAACCTTCTTATATTCCTGAAAAGTCACCAAATGATTGAATCCATACCTAAATTCAAAGATTCACATTGTTGTTTTATACTATAATGCACTAATGTACATGAAATACAACAAACAATATTAGAAGTAAATCCATGTCTCTCGATAAAAGAGTTGGAGGGGCCTGCTCTTACAGTCCAGTCTTACCACACAGGACTGCCCTAGGCCGGTTAAAAGATGTCCTCAAATGTGGAGTCAGCACACCTTAAGTGTTTCCAGCAAGGGAGGCCGGTGGACCAGAGTAAATGACGCTTGTATTTTATTTAACACATCAGATCTAACAGTAGTTATGACTCAAGTGAGATGAAATACAAACAGTCCCCAAACATACTACTAAAAAACACACTCCAGCTTTCCTGAAGAACTCTCCAAACCCACACTTCACAACTCTCAAACCACTTAGGATACGAAAACATGACCGCCACCCCTTTTTTTTTTAAGTAGGCTCCACGCCCCGGGTGGGGCTTGAACTCACAACCCTGAGATGAAGAGTCAGAGGCTCTACCAAGTGAGCCAGCCAGGTGCCCCAGACAGCCACCTTTTAATGGTAATTCCTTTTTTCCTTCCTTCTCTCTTTCTGAGCAATAGTCTTTTTTTGTAAGCAAGAATCTTCTTATTACACATCAAATATTACATGGAAGCTTGTAACAGATAAAAAGAACAGGTGCTCTGATGAGAATGTGTAACACCCTTTCAGCTTGTCTCTTCCTATCTCTGACTGGAGCCTAAATCCTGCCTGCCTCCAACCAGAACTTCGGAATATTAAGGGCGCCCAAAACACCTAACACATGTGTCTTAAGTGTTATGACATATGAGCTAAACACTGCAACCGTGTTCTGATATAAAACAGTAGTGATCCTTGGAACCATCTGAGACCCACTGTCCCAAAAAAGTGTTTTAATAATATAATTATTAAACAACTGTAACAATGTAATAATAAGTATATAACCATTACGATGATATTAAATGTTGGGGAATGAATCTACCATAAGATTTACACACTTCCTCTGATATTTTGGTAAGAAATATCTGTTGGCAATTAAACGTATTTTTCTTCAAATATGTTATTCTGCTTCAGGAGCTAATGCTCCACGGGTCTCTCTCATTCCTGTGCATCTCACAGAGGCAGGGATAGACCTTGTTCTGGACTTTTTTTTTTTAAGATTTATTTATTTTGAAGAGAGAGCGTGCACACATGCAGGGGGGAGGGGCAGAGGGAGAGGGAAAGAATCCCAAGCCGACTAACCACTGAAGGTGGAGCCCAACAAGTGGCTCAATCCCATGACCCTGAGATCATGACCTGAGCCGAAATCAAATTGGGTGCTTAACCAACTGAGCCACCCAGGAGCCCCTGGACTATATTTTTAAGGATGTCTGGATAGCAAACAGCCTTGCAAAACAGAGACGGTGTCTCTCTGAAGCAGGTCTGTTTTCTACAGAGCAAAGCGCAGACAAATTTGCTTGAAGCCCACTTGTGGGTTCCCCTAAGTTTGAGATTCCTCAGCTATGACTTGAGCCCACTGTAGGAGCAGCCTCCACCTGAGCCACACTGCCCCTATGAAGCTGGGGGGGGGGGGGGTTGTCCCGGGGAACAGGAAACTCATGGCTTGCCTGTTCTGAGTAATGAAGTCCTTTGTCTCTGATCCAGGAGTCTCATGTCTACAACTACCATGCACGAAGCTAGCAGACTGTCAGCTTGCAAGTACAGTAAAATCTCAGACCCTCCACAATTCTGGCAGCTTTGGGTGACAAGGGTAGGTAGCTAACATGGCTTTCTAGAGAACAAATAAGGGCTCACAAGGTTGGGTTAAGGGCAATGAGAAGACTCCCAAGATCTAGCAGTGAATGCTCTTACGCAAGCAGTAGGCAAGTGGGAGAAGTATGAGTCCCCCAAGGACCTGACGTGCTAATGCCTGTCAGAGGCTGAGCTACAGGCGGAGCTTGGTCATAGCCCCTTCTCCCGGAGAGGAGGGGTGTTAGCATGTTCGTGTAATACCAAGCCCTACAAGGCCAGCTAAAAAGACTATGATTACAAGGAACTATTTTTCTTGTATACTTTGTTGTTTTCTGTATTTTCCAAATTTCATAGAGTGAATTGCAGGGCTTTAAGTAATATAAGAACAAATTAATGTTGTTTTTAATTTTTAATTTTTTTCTTAAAAGAACTAACTTCCAAGAGATTGACACTCAGAAAAATAATTTTTAAAATATCCAAGTTCAGTTTATGAGACAGTATAGCGAGCTAGTTCAAGACCCCAACTCCAGCAACAGACTGCTTGGGTTCAAAGCCTGGTCCCATCACTGACCAACTGTGTAACACTGTGCAAATTTCTAAATCTCTCCGTGCATCAGTTTGTTTCTTCGTAAAATAGGTTTATCCCTACCTTATGGGGTCATTATAAGGATCAAATGAGTTAACATAAGTAACATGCTTAGCATTAGGCTAGGTGTTTAGTAAGCACAATATAAGGGTTAACTGTAATGGCTCAAATTATTGCCTTTGTTTTTAAAATTTCCAAGGCTTTGTAGTTCACCTATCATTTGTGTTTCTGGATTAAATTTATTTCTCCTAATGCCAGCTTATCAACTTCTTCCCATCTGTCACCTATCATTCACAGACCTGTAAGAAACAATCTCGTGTTTCTTGATGATATGAACACCGGGTACACAAGCATTTCTTATCATTTCCCTTGCCATGATGATTAACATACAAGCTCCTAATGAACTTAACCTCCCTGCTACTACAGCCCAGCACATCCACTAGCCTCACTCCCTCGTCTCTCAGACCCACCTCTAAGATCGCAGACTGTGAGACTGCTCCATATTTCTCTGATACCTCCAGTCCTCTAACCTACACTGTGTCTTCATCATTATAACCTCCACTCCCTGAATCCACCCAACTCCTCCAATCAGTCTTGTTTTCACTTGCTTAAACCCTATGTTGAACTGTGTATTTTAATGATAATCCAGTACCAATAATATTCTAATATTCCTGGTCCCTTTGATTTCCACCAGACTACCTTAATTCCACTGGTGGCTCATTCCTTGAATTCTCAGTCCTGTGAAAGAAATTTACAAAATCTTGAGAAACATGTGCTACGACATTCCAAAGTGGGTCTTTGCTGTTACCTGGCAATACTTATGCTGATCTCTGGCTAAGGATTCCCTCAATGATTTTTTAAATGTTTTCCATTCTCCTTGACCCTAAATCTCATCCCTTGCTTTCTAGCAAATTGCAGCTGCCCTTACCTCTTCCTTAGTAGGACATAACTGGGGAGACTGCGCATCCCTCAGCTTCCTTCCCCTATCTCTGGTTTCTCTGTCTCCGTTCTTCTTTCTTTCATTCTTTATATAAAGGAAAATGCCTCAGATCCCTTTTCTCCATGGCTCAGGCTTAGATGTTCATCCTTTCAACATGCCGGATCAGTGCTTCTCAAACTTTGGCATATGTCAGCATTACCAAGGGGCTTGCCAATCCCTGAGAACCAGCCCAAAGACACTTCAGTCAATTCTGATGAAGCCAGTTCATGTGATGAAGACACCAGATAGACTGCTCTGTTCTTCCCCTAGGTGATCTTACCTCCTCACGTAACCTAAATCTAAATCTAAAGTTTCTATCTTTAGTCCAAATCTCACCACTGAGACCAAGATCCATACATCTGAGCTGCCACCTCCCCTCAAGTATCTCACAAGTACATAAACTTAATTCTAAAGTCAAACTCATCACTTTATCCCCTAAACATGCTCCTTCAG